TCTATCTATCTATCTATCTATCTATCTATCTATCTATCTATCTATCTCTATCTATTTATCTGTCTATCTGTCTATCTATCTATCTATCTATCTATCTATCTATCTATCTATCTATCTATCATCTATCTATCTATCTAGGAATGTATTTCCTAATGTTTTCTTGTCATCTTGCAGCACATATTGACTTTGTACAAAAGATAAATAAGTGAAAGTTAACTTATTAATTGAACTATTATGAAAATGCAAAGAATATGCATAGAAAGAGTACAGGTTTATGTCCAGTATTTTGGGGGAAAGGCTTACTGCAAGTTGCAAGGGAAAGCAACCCTAGTGAGGAATGGTGCTGACAACTCTTTTTATTCTCTGTCCCCTACAGCTGCAGTTCAGAAACCAAAAAAAGAGAAACCAGATGAGACCATAGGGATTAAGCCCAGCCTGGGGGAGTTCTCAGTCCTGGATGTCACAAGCGATACTATCCGTCTTTATTGGACCGTCCCCACTGGGAGCTTTGACTCCTTCCTCATCCAGTACAAGGATGCAGATGGTCAACCCCAAGCACTGCCTGTGGAAGGAGGCTCCAATGAAGTCACAGTGACTAACTTGGTTCCTTCTCGTAGATACAAGTTCAACCTCTATGGAGTCTCCGGGCGCAAACGCTCCAGCCCCCTCTCCACTGATGCCACCACAGGTCAGCTTCAAGGATTGTGAGATTTTCAGAGATTGTACCTTCAGTTCAGCATGATTGGTTTCCTTATCAAACAGTGTTATTGCTGCAATAGTTGCCTAACACTTCAATGTCTTGTTTCATACTAGCTCTTGCAAATTGGATCTTTTGTTAACATTGTGCTGGATTTTAGTTGTATTGCCTGGCCCCTTTGGAATATTCCTTCCCATTTTCAACTGCTCTTTATCCATCTGGTGGACACCAAACTAATGCAACTCTTGAGGAGCAATATACATCAGGTATTTTTTTGCAGTAGATCAAGAGAGGATTCTCTTGGCAGGATGGTAGCCAGTTCATAGGTCTGAATAATTCCCATTTTTTTAAAGCCTTGATAGAGTCCAAGATTGGGATGAAGCCAAGTACAATAGAGTCATTCTGAACATAAAGAAGTCAAGTGTCATATTAGCAACCTCTTGATATGATCTCAAAATTAACAATAATAGATCAGCATCAAATTATACAGAAATATTTTCCAAACACAATACTTAGTTAATATTTAATACCACAAAGATTATTGTAACTTTTTCCTTCCATTTCTCTCTTTTAGCCCCAGTTCCAAATATTGAGATTGCAGTTCCTATCCAATCCAGCCAGGGGACTTCTCGGTCCTTGATGCCACAAGTGATTTGGTCCATCTCTGTTGGACCATCCACACTGGGAGCTTTGACTCCTTTGTGGTTCAGTACAAAGATGCAAATGGCCAACTCCAAGCCCTTCTTGACTCCTGACAAATGTATCTTTTCTTTTATGTACACTGAGAGCATATGCACCGAGACAAATTCCTTGTGTGTCCAATCACACTTGGCCAATAAAGAATTCTAACTATCTATCTAACTGCCTGTGGAGGAAATTTCCAAGGAAGTCATTGTAACTAACCTGGCTCCTTCCCACAGTTAGAGGTTCAACCTCTATGGAGGTTCAACCTCTATGGAGTCTCTGGACAAAAACTCTCCACCTCCACCCTTGCCTCTACTTATCCCACCAACAAGCCACCTTCAGGAGTCATTGTGCTGAGATTTTTCAGCTTTTGTAACTTTGTATTAACGTTCCTACTTTCTTTATTAAGTAGCATGGTTATTGAATGTTTCAACTCCTGGGTTGTATCTCCAACAGTCAGACATTCTAATCAAGCTTTTCTTCCATATTCCTCTTTAAGCTCAAATCACAGAGCCTGAGAAGCCAGGTTCTTTCCAATCCAGCCTGGGAGAACTGTCAGTGCTTGATGCCACAAGCGATTCTGTCCGACTCCATTGGACTGTTTCTACAGGGAGCTTTGATTCCTTCCTGATCCAGTACAAAGATGCAGATGGCCAGCCCCAAGCATTGCCTGTGGAGGGAGACTCCCGGGAAGTCACGGTGACCAACTTGGTTCCTTCACGCAGATACAAATTCAATCTCTATGGAGTCTCAGGGCGCAAACGCTCCAGCCCTATCTCTACTTTTGCCGCAACAGGTCAGTTTCAGGAAATTCTCTGCCTACGACATTTTAAAATTGTATTAGTATCATTGATTTCCTTCCCATATAGCCGTGATGGCGAACCTATGGCTGGGAGAAAACGTTCTAGGCCTCTTGCCACGGAAGCCACCACAGGTCGGCTTCAGGTTTTAGCATGGCTTTGCACTTTTCAGACAGTATTCTTTCATAGTAATATTCTTGATTTCTTTAACAGGTAACCTTTCTTAACCATTTCAGTTTTTGGGTTGCCTCTCTAACACCTGTTCTGACCAAGACTTCCTGAGACATTAACAAACACACATTAGTCTGAAAAAGCTTTTGTTTTATTTCAATGGCTGTGAATTATAGTCATCCACAGCCCGTAATGAGTCTCAAACAGTTCGGAAATAGTCCCACAGAAATCTGCCAAAGTCCTTCGGGATAAATCTGATAAGCAGGCACCTTTATCTTGAAATGCTGCCAACTAAATTGCTAATTAATTGTACAAGGCCAAATGAAGCACAAATTCAACACACAGCTTCAGGTTTCAAACTGACCAGTATGAACAAAGTTGCTTCCTGCAACGATTCATATCCCTTTGCTCCTCCTTTATGTCTTATGGGAGGGCCAATCACCTCCAAGCCTTACAAGTCGCCCCTTTTGTCTTAACTGTTCTTGCCTTCTGGCAGCTCTGCACATGTGCACACTGGGAACAGGCCCCCCGTGTTCCTCTAACTCACTGCTGTTAAATTCTGGAGGCTCCAGAATCAGCACATAACCCCCAGATGGACCTGGCCCCATCTCTGTATCGGATACAGAACCCTTGTCTGAGTCCCTACCCAGACTCCCAGACTGGCCCATGTTCCTCCCCACTGTCGGAGTCTGCTGCCATCTCCATAGACTGCCGGCAGACCACAACAACACAGTGAAATTATAACTAAGCCTTTTCTTTCTGTTTTAGTCCCCTTTACAGAGACAGAGACAGAGCCAATTCCTGTTCAACCCAGCCTGGGGGAGTTTTCAGTCTTGGATGTCACAAGTGATACTGTCCGACTCTTTTGGACTGTCTCCACTGGGAGCTTTGACTCTTTCCTGATCCAGTACAAGGATGCAGATGGCCAACCTCAAGCTTTGCAAGTTGAGGAAAGCTCCCGTGAAGTTACTGTGACCAACCTGGCTCCTTCTCGTAGATACAAGTTCAACCTGTATGGAGTCTTTGGGCGCAAACGCTCCAGCCCCCTCTCCACAAATGCCATCACAGGTCAGCTTGAGGATTCAGCATGGCTGAGCACTTTTCAGATATTATTCTTCCAAATTTAATATTCTTGATTTCCTTAATAAGTTACCCTTTTACTGATTGTCTATGGAGCTTCTCAGTCATCCAGGTCATGATTGTCCCAAATGTTATCCTTTTTACTAATTGTTCCAGCTCTTGGGTTGCATCTCTAGGACCAGGGACATTATAACTGAGCCTTTTCTTTCTTTTCCTCGTTTTAGTTCCCTTGGCAGATTCAAAGGAACCAGTTCCTATCCAACCCAGCCTGGGGGAGCTCTCAGTTTTTGATGTCACAAGTAATTCTGTCCGACTCTATTGGACCATCCCCACCGGGAGTTTTGACTCCTTCCTGATCCAGTACAATGATGCGGATGGCCAACCCCAAGCGTTGCCCATAGATGGAGGCTCCAATCAAGTCACAGTAGCCAACCTGGCTCCTTCCCACAGATACAAGTTCAACCTCTATGGAATCTCTGGGCACAAACGCTCCAACCCCCTCTCCATTGATGCCACCACAGGTCAGCTTGATAAGTTAGTGTGGCTGAAGTCTTGTTGAGGATTCCTTTTTTTGTATGTATGAACTACCAATAATCAGACTGATCAGTTTTCATAGCCACAAAGCACCGGAAACTTGCACCAGTGATTGTGAATTTTTTTTGCATCTCCCTTCAGTATCTTTGGGGGGGAAGAGAGATTGATTTAATTACAAATTAATTACAAAAAAAATGTAAACCATACATTCTTTTCAGCCATTCAGAAATTAATAATAACATTTTAAAAAGTTATTTTCTAGTTTATCTGTTTTCTATAAGCTTTTTATTTTCTTTAAACTCCAATTTCATTATTATTTTCATATTTTTCTCTTCTGTATCTCCAATATGTTTATTTCTCCCTTTGATAAATTTGTTGTTTTAGTCACTATACAGGTATTTGGAACCTAGTTTTCGATCATTAAATAATGTGGTAGTAAGGCATAATGTCAATGACCATACCGACTTACGACACTAGTAACAATCCCAGTTGCAGCTGTTAGGTGAATCCTACATAATCACTATGTCCCATGTCACCAATTGCCATTGAAGACCAATTTGCTGCTTTCCCCTTTGACTTTGCTTGTCTGAAGCCAGCAGTAAATATCACAAATAGTGATAGCACGTCTATAGGATGCTGCAATGTCATAATTGTGAGCTGATTGCTGTGTATTCAAATTGTGATCCCATGACGCGGGGACAATGTGACAGCGCAACTATGAGGCCCCATCATGAGTCCCCTCATTCAGCATTATGTTAACTTCAAAAGGTTGCTTGAACAAGCGGAGGTTAAGTAAGGACTACTTGTATGACTCTGTTGGCACTCACAGTTATCCTCCTTTTTGCAGAGTTTGATTTGTTTTTTTTAAATCTTTTTTATTTGTTTTCTATTCTTCTTCAGTCCAATACTTGGCTTTTACTTTTACTCTTTTTTGCCTGTCAGTTCCTGGCAGGGCTTGTGGATGCTTTTCCTCTTTTGAAAATTTACTGCATCTGAGGGAAATGGCTTGAAGAACTTTTCCCTCACTCCAGTTCTGAGGAAAGGAAATAAATGCCTTTTTCTCCCCATTTTCTCATTATTTTTGACTCCTGTCAGTCCTCATCAGAGTAATCTATCTTTCGGATTGCCTCTTTAATATTTCTTTTGGTCTTTGGCTTCGCTTATTCAGCCTCTTATCATGAGGCCTGAGGCAGCAGAGCTCCCCGGCAACCATTTTGTTTCCCTTCCTTCTCCCCTCCTTCCCTAAACTGCTATTTCGCTGAAAACTCTGAAAACTTTGATTGGCCGCTCAGTTGCTATGACAATGGAGGCAGGCTGAGAGGGGAGTGGAAGGAAGGCATACAGGTGCTTTTAAACTATGCAGGAAGTCCTTCCACAGGGAAGTTCAGATACTATTATTTTCTATTCTTTGTCTAGATTTCCTTAAAGAGCAACCATTTTTACTGATTATTCCATCTCCTAGATAGCATTCCAAGACCAGGAAAATGTAATTAAGTCTTTTATTTATTTTCTCTGTTTTAGCCCACATTACAGATACAGAGGAGCCAATTCCTGTGCAACCCAGCCTAGGGGAGTTTTCCATCCTTGATGTCACAACTGATTCTGTCCGACTCCATTGGACTGTCCCCACTGGGAGATTTGACTCCTTCCTGATCCAGTACAAGGATGCTGATGGCCAACCTCAAGCGTTACCTGTGGAGGGAGACTCCCGTGAAGTCACGGTGACCAACCTGGTTCCTTCTCGTAGATACAAGTTCAACCTCTATGGAGTCTCTGGGCGCAAACGCTCCAGCCCCTTGTCCACCGATGCCACCACAGGTCAGTTTCAGGATTTAGCATGGCTGGAGGCCCTTCAGATATTATTCCTCCATGCTAATGTTCTTGTTTTCCTTAACAAGAACTTTTTTTATTGGTTGTTCCAGCTTTTGGGTGGCATCTCGAAGATCAGGGAAATTCTAACTAAGCCTTTTCATTCATTTCCCTGTTTTAGCCCGCCTTACACATTCAGAGGAGACATATCCTGTGCAACCCAGCCTGGGGGAGTTCTCAGCCCTTGACATCACAAGCGATTCTGTTCGACTCCATTGGACTGTCCCCACTGGGAGATTTGACTCCTTCCTGATACAATATAATGACGCAGGCGGCCAACCCCAAACAATGCCTGTGGAGGGAGGCTTCAATGAAGTCACGGTGACCAACCTGGCTCCTTCGCAGAGATACAAGTTCAATCTCTATGGAATTTCTGGGCGCAAACGCTCCAGCCCCCTCTCCACTGATGCCACCACAGGTCAGCTTCAGAAGACATTCTGCCTGGAAGGTTTTAAGATATTGTAACTGATCGGAATGGAGGGTTGCTGGAACGCTGACATTAGGATCATTCCTAATTTTCTTAACAAATAGCATATTTGCTATTTGCATCTGCAAAATCAATGCATTTGTAACTGATCCTTCCTTCCTTCCTCCCTCCCTCCCTCTCTCTGTGCCTCCTTTCTTTCTTTCTTTCTTTCTTTCTTTCTTTCTTTCTTTCTTTCTTTCTTTCTTTCTTTCTTTCTTTCTTTCTTTCTTTCTTT